GGTGTGAATCGCAGTCCCCGTCTTAAAACTTCCACATTCTCCGGATCTATTCTATGTCCCGTGTCTAAGACATGTATCGCCATCGCTGAGTCTTTGACCAGCGTTTGGTATTCTTCTGCACTCCTTGGTGGTTTTTAATCCTTCTTTTATGCTAACCAATTCTGGTGTGCAATTCCCTGGCAGTTTGTCCTATATAAACCTTAGCACAATCGTTGCAGTTAATTTTGTACACACAGTCCCTAGTCCTTTCAGCCGGCAGGGGATCTTTCAATTGCACCAAAACTGAGAGTAGCGTTTTTCCCTTCTGAAAAGCTACTCGAATGTTGGCTAAGTTCAACAATCTTCGAATAACCTCCGATGTTCCTGCTTTATATGGAATGACTGCTGTGCCAATCCATTCCTTACTGGGTCTAGATACCGGAGCCAATATCTTCCTTAGTTGTCGCCTAATCAAACTCACTGGGTATCCTATTTCTTGAAGTTTGTTGGCAATCTCGATTTGAGCTGCCGTCCGATCGATCTCTTCTGTGCACAGCGCTCTAACTCGACGAAACATCGGTGACAATGCTGGCGTACACGGACTTTGGGTGTGCTCATGAATAGCTTAAGACGGCTCCTGCGTCTGTTGGTTTCTGGTAGATAGTCGTTTTCAATTTCCCACCAACCTTATGTGTTATACAGTCCAGAAAGGGTAATGTGCCCGAAGTGGACTCTATTTCCATGCTAAACTTAATGTGTGGGTTTAACTATTGAGATACTCGTGGAGGCTGTTCACGTTATCTCTTTTTATTACAACAAACGTGTCGTCAACATAACGCCAAAAAACTTTTGGTGGACAATGATATCCGGCCAAGGCTACTTGTTCGAAGTGCTCCATGTAAATATTGGCTAAAGCTGGGGATATTGGAGATCCCATTGGAAGACCTTGTTCTTGTTAGTAAACAGTTGTGTCAAAAACAACCTTATCAAGATTTAAACACACTCTTATGCCCTCAACTATTTCATCCACCAGGAGCTGTGTCCGTCCCCCGAATGTCGTGTCTGTCAGTAACAATCTCTTAGTTACCTCCAGAGTACCTGCCCTAGAGATGTTTNTTGTTGGCAAAGTCGTACGAATTTCTGATGAAGGTGCTTGATTTTCCCGTGAGCGGTTTTAGTATACTAGCTAAGAATCTGGCCAGTTCATGCGGCGGCGAGCCTATACCACCCACTATTGGCCTTATCGGTATATCTGCCTTGTGGATTTTTGGTAGTCCGTAGAGTCGCGGTTGAGTTGCACTTTTTGGATACAACCGATACCACTTACCTTGCCCTAAGTGGTTTATTACGGATCTTAAATATCTCCCAACTTCAACCTTACTCTTATTCATTATTAAAGTAATACTGCTACCGGTAATCTGTCGGTAGGGTCCATCGGCGAGGTGTTGCCTGACCTTTTGAAGATATTGGCTCTTATTCATCACTACTGTGGCTTTACCCTTATCACCGTCTTTATTCACCTCAGTTTGCGTGGTTTTTCGAAGTCACAGGGCGACCGTCCAAATCAGTGCGCACTTCTGGCAAGCGATCGGATGGTTGAAGTCTATGGATTTTCGTCGAGGGATTGTGAATCAGGTGGTGTTGTATAATGAGACCAATTGAAAACATGACCTCCGGACCTCGTCCAACCAAGCGACAAACGTTGGTATTCATATAGCTACCATTTTTGGGATGTATAGGACTTAGAAGACTACGTGAGACTCTATGTCTTCTATGTTGACTTCCATTCCCGTATCGTACTAGTGTCAGTACTTAGGGAAGATCGGACATCCACGATGATTTCAATGGGACTGCCTTGCAAAACAAGAGAGAGAGACAGGAATCATAACCACACAAGAAGCTCCAGACTATAATTAGTCCTAGTGAAACCTAGAGGAGGAATTCACCACGAGTTGTTGTAGCAGACAAGTCTGAACCGGCCACAAGAGGGCATACGAATTTCCGATCTTCGACAGGTCTACCAATAGGGAATGGTCAAGCAACTCTTTTCTATGGAAGACGACTTACCAGTAGTGAATAGTGTTGCTCAATTACCACACTATCGCGCAGTAAGGCCGTGAAAAGCGCTGAGAAGAAAGGGGAACTTACCGCAAACAAGCTTTTATATTCAATAGAACAGTCCGTCACTGGGGTGAACCCATCACCCGTTGTGAACTTCATACAACGTAAATCTAGCACAAAACGTTAGCTAGGTAGTGTGGCTGACAAGTGATGCATGGTCGATGGTATGGTCCACTGCGTAACATACACTCAAAGAAGAAGCGAAGACCTCAGGGTACTCAAGCAACCATTTTTACTTCAGATTGCTGTATCATGGTCTGTCTCATCCCTTGACGGTGAAACCAAGGGGCTAGAGGCACAACCACTAACCCACCGCTACACACCACTACGTTCCCCAATAGCGCACCGATGATGTCACCTCGATTAGTGATGAAACGTTTGCAATCAAATTGCCCAGCTCAGCGAACACGCCAACGACCATCTACGCTACCTGAGCTACCGAGTTTCCCCAATAGAAAATTAAAGCTTTTTGGTGAGCACTGGGTGAGCGTGCGTCCCAACACCCTTGGTCGGATGGGCCTCATTTGCGGCTCAAGCACTAGCGATTAGTAGTCACACATCGCTTTTGTTCCAGGCTTACGGCAGCCAAATGATCATTGCTGAACCATGGAGACAACCAAGATCCCGTGTTTGAAGGTGTTTTGAATTTTCGGATCGGAGGAACGAATACCCGTAGTTACAAGGTAAGACGGTTCTCCAAGTCGTTTTTTGTGCACGCGACTCGCTAACTTCAGTGGGGCTCGTTTCTGATGTCAAAGATTAACTAGGTTTGACAGTGCATGCCTAGACTTTATTCGTCTCATGCCCCTTAGATAAGTAGGCCTATCAACAGCTTCAGACAAAGTGGACGGTAGGGGGGAATCCTGAAGACTTTGCACTTTGAAGGTGCACAGCGCATACCGGGACACAGAGGACCTCTTCAAACGGTCTACTTAAAGTAGGTTGTATGGAAGCATTGCTTAAAAAATTGATTTCTTACGCACAAGCCAAGTTCACCGACGTTTCTGCAGATGTGACTTGTATTCACGGTGCCTTGGAGATGACAATATAGAGTGATTGGGACACAGAGCAACTTGAACCCCAAGGTTGTAGTGAAAGTGCAAAAAGGTTCGCCTTAAGCCCAAGAACGCCAGAAGGTTCCCTCTAAAATGGTATAGGCGACACAAATCATGGTTGACTTATTGTACACCTGTTATCCGGTCGAACCTGGCTGATGCATCCGGGATCGTCTTCGGTGAAAACCTATAGATCACAGTATTTCCAGGACAAATAGCCGTGTTACACGTGGGCTAAAAGGTGTATCCCTGTGGTTGAAGCAGTAGCTTGGGGTAGATTTTTTAACAACGGCTCAGTGAGCCATTTGCTGGAACGCATTTCTGTTCTCACATTAGTATGAATGATACAGTCGGAGGAGAACGAAAAGATCCACCATCATTTCTTCAAATAGTGTTAGTTGGTTATCTCGCTTCGGGATCGATGGCGTTTCAAGATAGAAATCCATGTAAGTACATCAGAAACTGGGGAACTGTAGACATTAAGAGATCACTGTTCGAATGAAGTACGGAAGCGTGCAGCCAACTAGAGTGCCGGTTAAAACCTTCCGTCCAGGAGTTTGGTTGTCCCATACACTAAATTCCAGACAGCGTTGATCACCTGAAATCTGGTTTCTATAGAAGCAGCTTCCTTCCGAGTTATTCCTTCAAATATAGAGGTCCGTTTGGAAACTGACCAAGCATACTACAAATTCCACCAAACGAATTTTACAGGTTTATCTAATTCAACTTCGCGAAAAGAGTAGGTCTCGCTGGAACATATTCGATTGCAGAATGTATCGGAAGTTTGACGCAAAGTGAGCCCATAACAATTAGATTTTGTGACAATTGTGTTGACCAACGGCACAACGGAAAATAAATCTGGGCTTCAGCGAATATAAACTCATTTGCAAACTAATTGTGTTTTTCAGAGACTCAGCTGGAACCCAGCTGAATCCCTCGTTTGTGATGTTCCAAGGCAATTGAATGTGCTGCACCAGGCCGCCTCATGTTTCAGTTGCTACGATATTCGAGATATCGCGATACATGTACATGATTGTGATGTACTACTCATAAGGTTGCTGAAAATCCGGCGACAGCCCAAGACCGGTTTCGCCCTTCTTGGGGCTCATCAGGTAGGCGCAGTCCCCGAGTTTCCGTCAACCTTATGTTCTACTTGAAAGCAAATTGCACGAAATTAGCGAATATACATTCATCTGCAAACTAATTTGGTTCTTTCGAGAGACTCATCTGGAACCCGATTGAATCCCTGGTTTGCGATGTTCTCAGGCAACTGAATGTGCTACGATGTCGCTACGATATTCGAGGTATCGCGATACATGTATATCTTTGTAATGTACTACTTATAAGGTTTGATGTTTTGACATAGCTGGGACTGACTTAGTTATGCTTGTACATTGTACGCATTCATTCGTTTTTTTACACGTCCAGATCGTACGATCTTTTGAACTTCTATACTTTGTTGAGGCAAAAACAATCAGAGGAGTGGAAGTTTGAAAATCCATGGATAAAGATTCTTCCAACAAACATCGACCAAAGATCTCCACCCACTGTGACTGCCTCCATTAAACTCTAATGATATAACAACCGCTGAAGCAGTCAACACCGTCGAATTTGTCCTTATTCAGTGTGCAGACTTTTGGAACTTGAGAAATTCATGCTTACAGTCGCGACATTCGTAGAAACCAGATCCAGACATTCCGGTTCAACGAAGAGGAACCTGGTTGATAGACAACAGTAGTTAGCAGTCCACACGTTCATTGTACAACATCTCAAGCCCAGCATATCAGGCGAATATGACACCCGATCAAACAAAAAGTAGAACACAATTGTGAATAATATGAACTTTGAGTCCGAGGAATATGTTGGACAACCAACCAATGGGAAAAAACATATCTGGAACGAAACAAAGGGAAAACAACGGCTCTGTCTACTGTCTGTGGCAAACGGTTGAGAAGGCGAACTCAGTGAGAGCCGTTCGAAGTTGTATGTACAAAAAATGTCAGGTGCAAACGGTAGTTGGGTGCGAAACACCGCCCTAAATGCATCCGTTGATGATGAGGTTGTTGTGGTCACAATGAGCACATGGAGGGGGAATACAGTCCCCAGGAACAGGATTCCGTGCACATTGGCTTTTTGTGCTAATTAATATGGCGAATCGATTCAAGCCGCGCCGCCAGTTTTAGAGCCGGTCCAATCTTCATTCCTATTGGTGGGTGGATAAATTGATCTTTGGCCAAAAGTAGCAGTGCCTCACCGTCTATTTCGTTTGTAAGAAAGGCCGATGCGTATGCTGCACATCCTGGGGTTCCCTGGACGAAAGCGACCACATCCTCCGGAGTCCACTTGCGTACGGGACCAGGAGGCGGAGGAGTAGGCAACTGAGGCGTGTGGGAGTGTTGTGCGAACGGAAACAAGCAGGACGGGTGTGTTTGTGCGAATGCAGGGGCGGAGGAACTAGCAGCATCAGTCTGTCGGGAAGCATTTACAGAGAGAGAGAGAGAGAGAGAGAGAGAGAGTGAGTGAGTGAGTGAGTGAGTGAGTGAGTGAGTGAGTGAGTGAGTGAGTGAGTGAGTGAGTGAGTGAGTGAGTGAGTGAGTGAGTGAGTGAGTGAGTGAGTGAGTGAGTGAGTGAGTGAGTGAGTGAGTGAGTGAGTGAGTGAGTGAGTGAGTGAGTGAGTGAGTGAGTGAGAAGCAGCAGGTGTAGGTGTTCAGAGACAGTATGAGAAACACTGAGACAATTAAGCAGCAGTACAGTGGCTCTAAAACAATCCCAGGATGTCATTCATCAACGAGTCTTTCGCCTCGAGCATGTAACTCATTTGCAAATCAATTTGGTTTTCACGAGAGACTCAATTGAACCTCTCGTTTATAATACTCTAAGACTCTAAGACTCTAAGATACTCTAAGACTGCGCTGCATACAGCCCGCCCCATGATTCAGTTGGCACGATATTCGAGGTATCGCAGTATAGTTTCATGAGTTGAGTCTCTCGTCAAAACCGAATCGATTTGCAAATGAGTGTATTTATCGAAAAGTCCAATTAGGGTTCAAGTAGAGAATAAGGTTGACGGAAACTCGGGGAGTGCGCCTAGATGATGAGCCCCAAGAAGGGTGAAACCGGTCTTGGGCTGTCGAAGAGTTTTCAGCAACCTTGTGAGTAGTTTCCTTCATGAGTCATTCACCTTCTAACGTGGCTGGAACCATGGTACATACATGGAACAGCTCAACGAACCTGAGCAACAACCAATCCAAAGCTATTGGAGACCGTAGCCTAGAATGGTGTCACCTAAGGGAGCAGCTTTAATTATGCACTGAGTTAAGAGCGAAACAACCTATCCTGGGGGATACGTTTTATCGAGCTGTCATTAAAATAGCTCTCAGCAAGAAGTGTAGTTAATAAATCTCGCCGTTCCAAAGTCGAGAAGCGTGTGGAAAGAGGTTCACCAATGACAGAGAGACATATCAATCTCTCAAATGGGTCCCGAAACGGATTAGTTAGCTCGCCTACATCTGGGCCTCAATCTGGTTTGGTGATACGCTCGAGGTTTTCAGTGTCCGAGAAAATAACCTGGGATTTTCAGCGCGGGCTGACTTCATTTGGAGGACGAAATCTCGGCTGAGGTTTCAAACCGCAATGGGACTCGGAAAAAAATCACAAGCCTTCTGTTTGAGAATTCATCAACCAAGGAGCCTCTGGTGGGGGTGAATGGCATTATATCCTGTATACACAACTATACGTGACCGAAAGGCACATTTTCACGCCAAACCACAGCCGCACGGTCACCCTCCCCAGGAGGGATGAAACTGCCATACAGTGCTTTTCGACGTCCGCTACAAGATCAACCTATCGCGTCCCGAAACAGTTTACGACGTCGTGTTATGCCGGAGGATCAGTTTTCGGAGTTAAGCACATCCTTTTCTAACGATTACCGACTTGAAACTCAAGTATGACAGACTTGGTGCTTGGGAAGTTAGCAACAACACTTGACTGTCGTGAGGTCACTGGCAAATTTTACCACAAAGGGTAGGTCAAAAATTACTTCTCTGGGGTATTATTATTATCATAAGTATTACTATTATTATTCAAATTCCAACAGAGTAGAAAAGTCCTATCCACCGCAACCAGTTGACAATTTCTTACCATAATTTCAATCGCGTCAGCAGTTGCTGAATTCTGCCTAGAGCTCATTGAGCTCATTAGGAAAAATCCTGTTCTGTACCTGTTTTCGGGTATCCAGGTCTATCAATCGGAATCAGCCATAACGATTGCCCGGTTAAGTTCTACTGTACAGCACGGGGAGAAATCTTTCGTAGAGTGCCTCTTGATATCGACCTCTATTATCTGGGCTCAGAAGTATCTGGCAGTCTCAGCTTCGGGTGACATGGCAGCTAGGCACATGGTGCTACTTCAATCGCGTCAGCAGTTGCTGAATTCTGCCTAGAGCTCATTGAGCTCATTAGGAAAAATCCTGTTCTGTACCTGTTTTCGGGTATCCAGGTCTATCAATCGGAATCAGCCATAACGATTGCCCGGTTAAGTTCTACTGTACAGCACGGGGAGAAATCTTTCGTAGAGTGCCTCTTGATATCGACCTCTATTATCTGGGCTCAGAAGTATCTGGCAGTCTCAGCTTCGGGTGACATGGCAGCTAGGCACCGAAATGGTGCTACAGCTAAACGATTATCTTATTATCTTACAATGCGGTGTTTATTCCTCAATTCCAGCTCCAGTGTCTTCAGTCCGTCCATCTCGAAGTGCCAACGACAAAAAAAGTGTCAATCAATTATGACCAGAAGACCCCTTAATGCCAAAGGGCAGCATGCCTTGATACCGGTGGTACTGGACGTTTCTGTGTGACAGCCAACCAACAAAGCAATACCAACGGCAAAGGGTCCTGTGAACCGACCTACTGGGGGGAAGTCAGACAGTTCCGAACGCATGACGACCAGTTACGGAATTCGTTTACGCGTAGACATTGTGGTGAATTCAGTATTCCAAAACAGATAAAAAAATGTCCCTTCGAGGTTACCCGCGTGGGTGACTTATAATAGGCAAATTGTACAGGTCAGCAGTAGTTTAGTGTTCCAAGACATTTTTGTGTGTAACCTTGTGGATGTGACGCAATCAGCAATACTGTGTATTCCTGACCGAGGCGTAGAGCATCCATCGAGCAGAGTGCGAACAGACCGGTGGCACCGGTTGCACACACATGAAAATGAGTTGGAAGCACATTGTCTGACTACATCACTGAAGGCCGTATGCAAATTTCCAATCCCAGCCAACTTCTACGGCATTGGAGCACATGGAAGCACGCCAACCATATGATTCGATCGGACGTTCGGAGATGAGTCTTGTCCTGTCGGATGCACATTAGGAGGCGAAAGTAATAATATGCACCTGTCCGCGTTGTTAGGCGTGAAAACGGCAATTATGGATCCCCAATGATACGAGCCGAGATCCTACCTTGACTGGCCTATTTAATCAGTCCAATCAATGGATTCTCAGTAGCGATCATCACTGTCGTACCGAACGTCGTCTTTCCACGGTTGTATCTCGTGAGCACACGTCAATTCGGTCACGCGTAGCCATCTGTACGAGTTATGTGGCGGGCACACTCAGTGCACATCGACTCAGTCCAGCGGCTTTTCGAACACATTTATAGAGGATCAAGAAATATGACCTTCATGTTCGCTAGTGCAGGTGGCTGCAGGTGGTGTCATTTCACACCCCGCATGGCCACTAAGTGACTTGTAAGGGTAGTGCAGTTACGCGATGCACTGATAAAGCGTGTGGTAACCTGGGTTGTGATGATTAACTGGAACGTATGGCGGACACGTTTTGGTGTGCTTCAACAACAGGTTAGCTGGTACAACAATGTCACAGATGGCCTTCACTAAAGTAGGCTAGTAGAAACGTGCGGCCCAACTGGATTCGCACACTGATGAATAGCACGATTGTGTAACGTAGGAAAGCAACACAATAGGTGTCAGTTCGTACTGTGTATAAGCTGGGAGGAGTTTGTCAGTGAACAAACGCTGCCTCGCGGTTAGGCTTTCGAGCCAAAGGCTTTGGTTGAGGACTCTAGTTGTCCTCCTGTCTGGGACAGTATCCCAGTCCATGTACAACCATGAACTGCACATACACAAATAAACTCATGCCACATCGGACGTCGCGTGGTGCCATCAACCGCGTCGTCTCACTCGCTGCATACAGCAGGGCGAGTAAGCGAAGACATGCTGTTGCTGCTGCTGCCCAGCACTTAGGACTGATGACACGGTTCGTCTTGCATTGATTTTGCATTCAACACCTGCTCGTCATATGGTGCCGACATCCTCAGATATCTCCAAATCAATCTTCAAGCCTCGACACCCAGTCTATCTGGCCGTCTTCAATGCCCGAACTCTGAAGCAAGCAGGATAACAAGCTGATCTTGCACTCACACTGGACTCGCTTGGCATTGGTGCATGCTGTGTCTCAGAAACAATAATTCAAAATGCAAGCACAGTGATTGAAACAACCAACCTATCAGTCTCCACTCGCTTCCAGCTGCGCACATCTGGTGATGTAGAGGCTGTTGCGGCGGAATGCGCAGGGGTCGGTATCGTCCCGGGCGGAACTATCCCAGCTTGACTGGGTGCCTGTTGATAGTTGCCTCTGTGCGGTTCGTCTGGCGACATCTCTGAAGGAGTTTCACAACCAGCAAGTTTATTATCGCCCCAACTGACTGTAGCTCCAACGCCGTCAAAGACAGGTTTTATGACGTCCTGCATATTTTCTTGCAGCGAGCTGAAAGCTCAGATATCGTAGTGGTTGCCGTAGGTGCCTAACTGCCATGCCACCCGAAGGTTGCATGAGGGCTGGGATACTGTCAGGTTGCCCAAACCTAGACGGGGAAATCGACTGTCAGGTTGCCCAAACCTAGACAGGGGCAATCGAGAGGCAGAGGTCGGGTTCGAACCGCGGATCTTCCGGTCGGTAAATTCGCGCTCTAACCACTCCGGCCATCTCGCCGTAGGTAGGAATGCACAAGTGGACTGGATTAGCGTATCTGGGACCCAATGAAGAGGTCGATATGGATTGGACTCGGTACGTACGGACAATGGTGAACGATTGCTTCAGCTGTGCTGATCGCAGGATATTTTTATGCAGTACCAAATTCCTAAGTAGCTGAAGTCGTCTGCCCGCATGGTATCCTCCAACGACATGCCGGCCACAAACTAAAATCGATCGCATAGCCATCAGTTACCGATGGCGCAAATGAACAGCTGACTGCCAGTCGTTTTGGGACACATTTGTGGATTCCGACCACGCTTTCGTCCGGAGTTGCTTCTCTTTACGTTTCTCTGGGTCGCAGAAGGTGCGAACAAATGGCTTGGAACCTGACACACCTGGCATATACTGATGTTAGACGAACCTACCAGAATCGTCTTCTAGCGTCTGTTCCAAATGCTCCACCATCAGATGTGAACTCATACGGGAATGAAATTGCCACCTCTTTGCATAGGACTGGGAATTTCGCCTGTAGCACGGCACCACCAGGCGCACTCAAGCACTGGATACCAGAAAGAACAGTGGCACTACTTAAATCTCGGAGAAACCAGCCAGTCCCAATCGACGAGTTATCCGACGTCGGCGGACTTACTGCTGGTGTAAGCAATCGGTGGACTTATCTCTGAAACGATGATTACCCAATCGGTCTCAATCATTTCCCAACTGGTCTATGTAGAGCCACACGTCGTTTGGGTTACCTAATGCACTGGATCTACTTTGCACGATGCTCACTTATGTAAACAAGCAAGGAACTAACATCATTTACAACCAACAGTTTTCGACAATTTTGCACCAGTCTCAGAAAACGCTTTGCATTGATATAAGTGACATTTCTACAGATTGTTCTTCACTTTTATTCTATGAGTAGGCAGGGTGGTGAAAATGGTTTGGTAAAACAGTGCAGTAGTTCACACTACTCATTTCTGTTTCGTTACGTGGAGCCATCCAGATGACCAGGTTTCGGTTCCAGTCTCACTCCAATTGGGGCATATTGGCATTCCATGTACACAAAGGTGGTCCCGAAAACTCATTGGGTGGATACCGACGAAGAAGGATGGAGAGTAATCCGTAGAAACGTGATCCACCAATATCAAAGCAAAGCATTTAACCTGGTGCAAAATTGTCGGAATTTACTATAGAAAGCTGTCAATCACACGGTATGCTCGAGTGATCCCACACCTTTGTAGAGCCAGTTTTCTACTTGTCTTCTACAGATTTTACGTCAGTGCTCTCTCTCTCATTGCGTGATGTTGCAATTTCTGCTTCTCGTTTCTACGTACAGAACAAATTTCATCTTATTGGCGCTGGAATGATCAAGAAGACGGGCCACCCTATGATCATGTCACAAGTGAGCGTGCAAGCCGACCGTGAAGTCTGGTGAACACAGAAAACCAGAGAAATGAAAGAGGCTCAGAAGACTGGTAATACCCGAATACTGCTTCAGTTAATCGGTGTGAACGGTCCACCTGCGAGTGAAACCGTCAAGGATCGGAATGGAGTGAACATCTCGAATGAAGAAGAACGCCTCAACCGGTGGGCCGAATACTTCGAACAACAATTTTCAAGGCCATCAGCTGGCACCCCTCTGGAGCCCACAGGTAATGTAGAACCCTGAGCAGTGAACGTGGAACCGCCTACGGCCTCGGAGGTTTATGACTGCATATATTCTTTTAGGGGCCACCGAGGCTCCGGTCCGGATTATCTCCCACCCGCATTGTTTAAAGATGGGGGTGAAGTCCTCAATCAGCACTTGTCCGATCGGTTTGCTTGCATTTGGGAAAAGGGGCACGTCCCAGACAACTGGGGAGAATCGGTGATAGTGTCCGTTTTCAAAAAGGGGTAGTGAGTAACAACCACAAGGTGATCAGCTTGACCCCAGTCGCAACGGGACTGTTGGCGTCACTGGTGCTTCGTTGCCTTATGGTGCCTCGTGAAATACTGACTTGAGAGCAGGAAGCGGGATTCCAGCCTGGTAAGCGATGCTTTTACTAAATCTTCACACTCCGCCAGGTGCTAGAACAACGCCGTACGTATAGGCGATCAACAATTCTAGTGTCCCAGATTTCCAAGGCGTATTTGACTCGGTTGACCGATCTGTTCTTCTCCACACGCGTGCACACCAAGGAATTCCCGGAGGTTTTTAAGCACAATACGGTCTTTGTATGACAGTATATGGAGAGCTCTCCAAAAGCTTCCGTACACAAAGCATTGTCCGTCAGGGCTGCCAATTCTCTCCATTCCTTTTTAACTTCGTGATCGATGAGATAATTAGACAAACGCTGTAAGACGTGGAGAAAACCTCGTCGATCTGGAGTATGCAGATGACATCGTTCTTATCCTCGAAGAGAAGGAAGACACGCAGGTGCCTTCCGGATCATAAGCTTGGCTTCCAAGCGTGCAAGATGCTTGGAAATTATTGGTGTTCGACAACCTATGCCTCCAAGGCACTGGTTGTGTGTGATGGGAACCAGAAATTATCCATTCTTGGATATGCAATACGGGTTTCGGAGGAAGGAACTCTCCTGCGATGAATGAGCTACTCACACTGGCGATTTCACATGCCAGAGACCTTTCTGTCCAGTTCTATACTTGTTGGAAGCAGCCAAGAGATGGAAAGTTTATGAACTAGCAAAGAAGTAGCTCTCTGGATAAGAAGTCTAGGACTCAAGTCATTAATGTTTAATGATGCTGACACACATGGTCCCGTCACCCAGTCAGTATCACTGCATCCTAGACATCTCCTTCAATAGGGAGCTACTCAGTTTCTCTTTTCTTCAGATAAGTGGAATGATCAATATCAAAATATCAAATTAGCTGGAAAGTCTGAGCTATAGTTCTGCTGCTGTTCCATTTTTTCGGTGGAAGAAACCATAGCAGCTGGAACCAACGCACCCTTCGTACATGGTTTACAAACAGTAAACTGAAGTGAAAATGTCGTTTGTAGATTGCAATACATCGGAAAGTTGGTAGCTCGGGTGCTTTAACCGGTTGTATATCCGGTGGCTGTTGATCTATTCTATGAGTTTTGTAATTTGCTTGCATATGCCTCATCATTAGTGCGCAACCAACCGCTCGCTGATGATGTTTCCACAATTAGTGACGAAACGACTGCAAGCAAACTGCCAAGCCCGAATAACAGAGCAACAGCCACCTGATCCATAAACGACGTTCAAGAATGTTGGAAAATGCGGTCCGGACGGCCCAGAATGTGTGAACTGCTCCCGGTGAGTGTGAAGATGGAATTCACACTAATCAAACTTACAACGATATGAAATTTCACTCCCACTATTGTGAATAGGCATCATACCTTAGGAGTAGAAGGATAGACTACAATCGACGACTGTTACAGCGCCATCGTTCTAAGGAAAAACACAATCGGGGATGCAAAATCCGTACCAAGGAATTAACGACGTCAAGGTTTCTCCTACACACCACTCAGCACGCATAATGGCGAACTCGTAGATACACCAGATGATCAACATATGAAAAACCGTGGGCGTATAGGAGCTGGGGCAGGGCAAAAGCCTTATTTCGAGTATGCAAACGACAGGAATTCCTCATTTTCTTGCGTTTCTTGCCAGGCTTTAATAGCATTCTTTGCACACACAAAATAATGTGTTACGGGTTCTGTGAGCCCCAAGTCACAATTCACTGATTTGTTATTCATCTGATGGATAGGCTAAGAATATCAACGTTTAGAGGCTGATCGGCGAGCGAAGGAAGGAAGGAAGAAACCGGTGATTCTAACGGCCTTTTGTATGCTATATTAGGTGGACAAACTATAGTTCTCCTCCGTTAAGGAAAGTGAAAAATATGTCTTTTTTGCTCCTAAAATATGCCACAAATTTCCATTGGTTTAGGAACCTGTTTGGGGTCATTTTCCACATTGGATTGAGAATATTTACTGAATCTAAAAACATACTGAAAGCAAATCGATCCGGGTGATTCGGAAACACCCAAAGCTGGTTATTATCAGTTATCAAACTGGAGTTTAGCTCCTCTGGATATGCTCTAATCCAACCGGTTCATTGCTTCTGGTTCCGCAAACGCTTAGGTTGCAACCGAAAACTAGTCTGATGCAAGTAAACTGTTAAATTTTCCAGTATTCCTAGTGTCAAAAAAGATAGCTGTGTTTGGCGCCAAAAGCTAACGGACAAGCATTCACCGCTGCTACATTGGAACACATGAAGCCTCGATTGCGCGAGCGACTGTGGAAAACCGAAAAAGGGATTATAACAAGGAAGATTACTTCGAACCAGAGGACCAACAGCAGGGTGGCAACGAATCCCTTCTACCCTCGTATGTACACTGAACAGACAGATCGCTCAGGAACACACCGGGTTTGACGAGCGCCTTTGCCAATCGGTGGTCATCCCTACAACCGCCGACACGCCACCGACCTAACACACATGCCATATGGGATTGGTTGTCTCTGAAAATCGCGCTCTGGATTACCAGTAAACCAATCGATGGATTGAAAGGGGAAGAGTTTTGATCATGCCCACAGAGTGAAAGATAGTTAACAGGAGGCAGCGTGGGGAACGTACACAACGAACATCCCACGGTGAACGTGAAAACCGGCAAACGCCACGCTTCACCTAAGTGATAAAAGAAGCGACTGTTTTGGGGGCTGGATTGTGACCAGCTACGCTCGTCCAACAGACTTGGATTGAGCAGGTGATTTGTTTTGTGGGCAGGGCCGGTTGGTTACAAGTGATTCACCGGCAGTGTGTACGAAAGACATCAACTCATCTGGTGGTAAAAATTTGGGAATGAACTGCCCAGCTCAGTAAGCAAAATAGTGACCATCTATACGACCCAAGTTACCGACAGTACCTTCACGAGTCTACCAAGATTTGTTGCTTTTGAAGTTGAGATGAAATATTAGCATGAGAGAAGAAACATGAATCACCAAAGCAGTGCTTTTGGGACATAGAGACCATAAGAAATTCGAAAAACGTTGGTCGGAGGCACCACAAGATCGGCACCCGTGGGATGAGCTTTACGGTATGCGCAGAAACTCACTGCCAGAGTCAGACACCCATTTCCCAAAGCGGTATGACAGCTAGGTACGACCTTGAAACTTTAATTTATCCGAATCATTTACTATGGAGCTATGATGTGATCGATCAAGTTCGCTTAGCTTGTTTGGTGTTAGCCTGCATGGGGTGTTTTTTATTTATTTACCTGGGCAGCTGTATCAGTCCCGGTGGTCTCGCGAAAGACGAAATTTCCATCCGGATTGGGAAGGCCAGAGCAGCTTTTGCGAACCTACGTCACCTGTGACGTAGGCGTGACATCAGCCTCTGTCAAGGGTCGAGTTCATAATGCTGCGGTGTGCTCCATATTACTATATGCATCAGAAACCTGGCCGCTGCGCGCCGAGGACGTCAAAAGACTTTCAGTGTTTGACCATCGATCTTGGCCACGTGCTGCGTATGCCAGTCGACCGACTTCCTCGAAGGGCTCTTTTCGCCCAGCCACATGAAGGGTAAAAGAGAGCCAGAGGCGGTCAAACAATGGCTTGGCAGCGAAGTGTGAAAGCCATTACCAGTAAACTCAGCTGCGCTGGTCGCTGCCGCCTTCCTGGATGGGGACCCCGAGACGAGCCACATCAATGGCTGGAGACATTGTCAGATATGACCCAGTCGCGCCCTCAATGGCGCTCGTGCATCAAAGCTATTGCCTTCACTGCATAGCTCCTTTTCCACCCCAACCCCCCCCCACTTAACAGCCCACTGACAGTGCTGGATTTATGCACCAATTTATCAGCTCCCGCCTGCAATGCGCAGCTACCTCCCCCTCCCCCCAAATCATCGGTGAACGAAACTGCGGCAGCTACAACCACTGTACAACGAGTAGGCGGTTATTACAGCTGACAATGATGATGATGCATGGGGTGTAAAGCTTGGGTCAGATGGGACGAAGCAGTGTTAAAACCGAACGACGATGAACGAATTCACCTTTGTGTGAACCCTGACACTGTACTCATCAGTCATCCCACACCACACCTACCTTAGCTACCAGGCAGTGTGTTGCATGACGTGAAGCCGTACGAGCACAATTCGCCACCACTACCTTCTTCCACGTACAAGGATGGAAAAAGCAACGGTAAATTAACAATATATACCTTCATCCACAAACCATCGTTCTGATATTGACAAAGGTATCATGCAGAAAACTTGAGCCGATTTTAGAGATCTTGGAATCCCATTAGTTAACAATGTTGGCGTCGGAAAATGTGAAACTATGTGACGGTCAGCGCTAGCGGTTGGACAGGTCGTGAATACTTTCAATGGTGTCCAGGAGGATTGTAATAAAAGCAAGAATGAGGAGTAAGATTGAGTCTAGAAAACGATAACGCTTCCATAGTATCAGCGACGACCTGTCCTGCTCGCTGGATTACAAAAATATCAGCATTGCACGTACAAGCCATTCGACTCACAGTCATGAGACCATGGTACGTCAACTAGAGGGAGAAACTATAGTAGTGTCACCTATACATCCTGTAGGATATATATGTAGGAACAAATCGACTGATCATCAACGGATTTTCTCACGAAGCCCCAAAAATCTGTAGATCAACGCGAAATGCGGTAGCTTTACATGGAACGTCCTATCGTCCGTTTTGGTGGGCGAGATTGTTCAGTAGTTAGTGCTTCGAACCCGACCTCTGCCTCTCGACTTCCCCGTCTAGGCTTGGACGACCTGGCAGTATCCCAACCCTCGTGGTTCCTTCTGACGGCATGGCAGCTAGGCACCGAATAGGTGCTGCAGCTGAACGATGTCTTTTATCATCTCCAGCACGCTTTCACACAAAATTTCTTAGCTCGCTGTACGGTTTCGTCATCTGTACCGAGTTTGTTGGGCTGGTCACATACACTTTATTTTTAACGCCCTGCTACGGAAAGAACTCAGGCGAGTTGAGATCGAGCAAACATGGTGACCACTGTCCGGGTCGGTCTCCATCGATCCAGCGGTCACGGAATTTTCAAGAAACTGCATTAAGTGTTGGAGGCCACATGAATCTGTGTTCGAACGGTGCAGTAGGTGTGAAAAACCTTAGAGATCCGCCGGTGAAATAAGTAATGTTCACATGCTTTAGGAGCGTCAGCGGTACCCACAAAGCGGGTCAAAGAGTTTTCAGCAGTGTAGCGTCAGCAAAAGGAGTAATATTAAGAAAATACCGCCTCCGCACAACTTCGTGTTAGTGATTCACAGTGTGACGTGAAGCAGATGATAAGCTTGAAGACGTGAAAATACAAGTGTGTAAACCATGCTCCAGCGTATTCAACTCGCCACATGGTGCGCACCTTGCTGGCCTCAATCTGATCGATCACACTTGTTTGATATGGGTGAAACATTTTCATTCATCCGAACGCAATGAGGGAAACAGAAGAGTGTCCCGTTCTGATGGAGTAGTTATTCCAATCACGGGAGTCAAACCTAATCAAAGTAAGCCCATTCATCAGTAAGTACATTTGCAATCTATTTCTGACCGGAAAGCTTGTGGATGAACGACAAACACGTCAGGCTAATGAGTACAAAATTAGCAGCATTATTGAAGTAAAGGCCAGAGAGGTGTTCGCAGCGATTAGTAGGCATACAATGGCACGAGGTTGACAGCAACATTTGAACAGAAAACGGCTCGCTCGCTCGTTTCTACATGGAGACTCTGAACTTTGAATTCCGTAGAACGGGCAGTACGATACCTGAAAACATGGTGGATCGGGTTTCTTCGATGAAAACGCACTCCATTTTACCACAATCTTCGTTCAAAAGAACTGACGATAAGACAAACTCGAGTACGCAAATCCGACAAATAAAAGATGGTTACTTACTAAAGACGGAGCAGTGGAGACGGAGGACGGCATCGCAGGTGTGGGCACCCGTATTGCTGAAACCGAGTTGATCCCTCTTGAAAACATCTGATCACCCGAAGCACCAACTGTGTGAATGGGAAAACCGGTATCTGAGGTCACCTGAACTCCATGTGACAGGGCAAGCGTTTCATCTGTGCTCTTTGAGGGTTTCGAGGTGAATTCAGGACCTTTAGTAACAGACAAGGGCAGTACAACAGTACGTCCTGTGAGGAGGAATGCTAACAGTGTTTGTCAGAAAGGGACTGTGAATGCAAACAGTGCGAATAAGCACTAACGATTACCCCCTTCGGTGTCGCGCTACAGCCCTATTGGTTACGACGGCCAGTAACTCGGTCAGCTATGCTAATCGGATGAGTTTTCCTCTCCTCTATCTTTGGAAATACAAGGACCGACTACTCAAAGTTGTTCTCACGATTTTCGTCGAAGAGGTGTGACAAGGGTGTACAAAAGGTAGATTTAGGCTTCAATGTTACAAAACTGGGTTGACAGTGGAGGGGCAGCATCCGAAATCACCGTAAAACAGGTGCTCGTTTTTAACTGCTGCTGTTGACGACGATGAATGTGCGAGGTCTGCAGTAACAGACATACTGTCGGGTGGTGTATTCCGCGTGAATCAATGGTGTGAAGCTCAAGGCGCATAAAGACATAAGGTGTCAATTACGGTGAAGTTTTCCATTCAAAAAGTACTGAGAGTGAAAACTGGAATAAACTGGTCTGTTGTACTAACAGGTAATTAGCATTGCTCTTTGGGAAGAAAGAACTCTCAGAGGTGTGGTTTCGTTGGCCACTAGCATAATATGGACAAGTCAGATATAAAGTGAACAACAACAACTCGTCATCTGGACTAGTGGTTGGTCACGTGGCCGTTGAATTGTTCACCAACCTTGCTAATTAGTCTGCAGACGTTTCGTTCCCAGTCGAAAAGACATCGTCAATGCGCAGTTAAATGGATACTTCCCCCTTATCTGAATGCGCTTATACGGTTTTCAAAGAATGCATGAATACACGTGATCGGCTAAGGGGTATACACCTTTCTCGCAACCTTATTGGCCCGCTCGCAATTTGCGTTGCCGTGTGAACTGTATTACTCGTATTACACTGGCGCGCTTGATATATTGACAACCTGTCATCTGTAGCTGTGAAGAAAGGAATATTTATACAGGAATATAAGGAATATTTATACAGCGAACACCAGATAACATCCTCTAGGCACTGCAGAATTCGAAAAAAAATAGTACACAGTCAATCTAGTATACGGGATAAACAAGTGCAGTCAAGGGAGCAAAACCTACCGTTTGTTTTCAGAGGTTCCGTTTCCACCATGGTCGATGGTCCGTTGCTCAACCGCTCGAAAATTGTTGGTTGTAGTTTGCCATTGGTCTCAACAGAACCGGTGAGGCACTTATTTGATATGTCGCTCTTGTTGTCGGACAATGAAACCGATGACTTCCGTTCCTCTAACTCGCTTTCTAGTTGCATCGGCTCGTGCCCGTTGAGAACTGGAATATTTGGCTCATTTGTCCTTCTATGCGGGGAAACTGTATCACGCACAACCTCTTTCTCTTCGTTCAGACATTCGTTTAGAAGAGCTGCTTCGACAACTGACATGCCGTTTTTAACCTGCAAAATGAAAGATGCAAATTATTAATGAACTTTTCTGTTTCTCCCTCTCTCTAGCGGAAAAAACAGCCTACTTGTTGTACAGCCATTATGGCTGTCACAGTTCTGTTTTTTGATAATCTGGGGAGGTAAGGGTAGATGGCTACATATTGGGGACGATAGATGATATAACTGACACGCGAATACAGGCTATCAGTGGACTTTTCGTTGGATCGATCCGTAGGTGAAGTCAGTCATTGATGGCAACAGCTTTAATGCACGCATGTGCATTGAGCATGCTCTCAAGTACTCAAAAGTCGTTCCAGGAAATTAGGAATACGGAGGACATTGTGTTTGGGTGTCGAAGGCTATTTACGATACCACTCTAGGAACAAAAATAAATAAAACAAGAGCAACTCATCCTCACCGGGAACGGTTTATTGCTCTCGTAGATCACGTGTCCACCCACGACGTGCATCCAGATCCGCAGTCCCTCTGGGCCATGATGGAGCAAAGGAGGCGGCATCTTTTGCGAGCCACCTTGTGCAGAAGCTGTGGAAGATTTTCGGTGAACAGGAAGCAGTCCAGTGGCCTCTAGAGGAGTCGTGCTGCCGCCCCGATAAATGCCATGTGTGGCCGACTTAAAAGACATACCAAGACGCTCTAGAGAAGAGTGAAGTTCCACATTCTCGTGATTTACGATGGACATTTTGGGAAGATACGAAGTGCTCGGTGATGCTACAGGTGAAGGACCTTTGCGCTGATTAGCCGGTGAAGTGGACGATGAGTTGCAGCCCGATGAGGAACGCGTGGAGGAAGAGATCACTGAATTGGATGAACGGTGGGTTGCTCCTATGGGTGATTGTTGTGGAGAAGGTAGCGAAGTTTTCAATGGTGAAGATGCGGTCCTTGAAGAGCCCGATGGATCGAAAGATTCATTCGCTTGGCTAGTTAGTAACAGGTAGAAAGTCGTAGAGTTTAGTTGTGGATTGCGCACCTAATTGACATGGGAAGCATTCGCCTAGAGCCGAAGTTGTGGTGCCCATGACAACATTTACGTCGCAATCATGAGTGGCACAACCACAGCAAATAAAGTAGCCAGTGTGAAAGTTTTGTGGAAAGGCACGCACTAAACCCAGTTCACGAATAACATCTATGAATTACTTCCGGCCGGGTGGTTTCGACCCTCAAAATGCCACTTTTCCTGCAACATATTCACCTACTCTTCCCAAATAATTGCATCAGATTTCCATCACCAAATCACAACGATGAGTTCCCATATTTCTACAATTCACAAAACAGACCGCTTGCTGGAGAAAAAACAACGCAGCGCGTCAACGGCAGCTGGAATGACACAAAAGTGTGCGGTAGCACAGGATGGTGCCGTTCAGAATCAAGGGTCCTGCACATATGAATGAAACTCAACCTAGAGGGAAGATCTACCAATTTCTTGCTCTTGTGTGGGAATCACTCAGTATGAGCATTAGATGGAACGGCGTCTTGGAGGGGACTTCGGTGGGATCTACGCCTTGTCTGTCAGTCATTGAGCTAACTACCGACTGTTCCATCGATCTTGGAATTTCACCATATAATGACCGTCATCAAGGTTAACTGGAACGATGTTATTTGCCCAGCAACCGGATCAACCTAATTTAGAAAATACTTGGACCATGTGGTTTTAGCCCTGCCAACAGAATGTTAAAAAGTTGGAGGGTGGCAGACAGCGATATTTTTGCAAAAACAAACAGGAGACAAGTTAGCAGAGGAATCATTTTAAAAGCATGATATGTTCCTGTGTCATTCAAACCTTCAACACTGACGGTCGATGGTCTATGGTTAGCTATACGACCAGTTTAATACACCAGTGGACGCCTGTGCTATCAGGATATGTTGACGGGGGCTGGGTAGCTAATTTGCTTGAACCAAAAACTGATTCCGGCTGAAGTTCGCGAAGTACACGAAAATATGAAGTGCGCCGGTGGGTATTACACTTTTTTTTTACCAAGATGTAAGTCATACAGATCTGCTGGAACTGTAGTTACGTAGAATACATGCTAAAAACAGGATATGTAACACAGGGGCGAGAAAACGGACGACCATTAGGTCGTAGATATGCTTCCATATCAGAGTAAACAATCAGTAGTTCACCAATACAGATAAGGTGAGGAAACAAGATATGTTTCGACGTAACGGAAGGCCGACGATTTCCGACTGAATCGACTGTTTGGATGTGAACTCAGGCTTCAGTGACAAGTGCGCTTAGCCGCCCACCAAAAGGAGGGAGAAATTTTCGTTTCCAGCTGTTTGAACGTGAAGCATACATACCGAACCTATAGGGAAATACAATATTACAAACCACAAGCTGCCTGTTGCTTGAAAAACGACAAACACATCAGGATATAAACAAACCTGTGATGCGATAGGAAGGTGGCATTCGGCTCTTCCTGAATCGGTGATTGGGCTGATTCATTTGGCGGGGCCGCCGACCCTGAATGGTGTCGAGCGGAGGTCGAGAGAACCGGTGACGTACGGACCGAAACGGGACTGACAGAAGATGAGCACTTTGATGGCGAATGGTCCGCGGGAATAGCCTCTCCAGAGTTGGTAAACAGACTGGAGGCGCTCTGGGTGAATATCAATCAAAACCAACATAGATTTAATTGGACTACTAGAATTCGAGGTGGATGGTACACGCTTATAATACCAAAATGAATGAACGACGCTGTAATCATTGCGGAAAACATTTTATCAGTAAGCACCATCAATGGATGAAGACAAAATGGACTTTCGGATATAACCCACGTACAATATCGGTGGACAGGTGAATCCGAGCGGTATCTGTAGGTGTACTATTCGGAGTCCCACTAGCAGGACCAACGAGTCCAACAGTTGTAGACTGGTTTTCCCCATCAGAAGGTAAACCGGGACCAGCTGAGAGCTGCAACCCAACGGGCGGTTGTTTAGATTTCACCGGATGTAAAAGCGGACGACGTCGACGAATGGGTGGCAGGACTGTCGTCGAATTCGGCATTACGATCCCCACATTGCCTGCTGGTCGACTGGTGCTCGACAGAGAAGTGGTTTTGGGGAGAACATTGGTCTGAACAGGGGAGGGAAAAGGAACAGTAATGTCTGGAGAGTCCTCATTTTCCAAAACACGAAAAAAACACCACAGGAAGCTAGGAAAGTGAATCTCCGGCGACTCGTGTGAAAACAATTCGATCAACAGAGCGTTCTAACGTGTTGCTCCAGAGGAGAAAACACAGGTGACAAGTCCGAAGCAACAAAAACGGAAGTAGGTTATGTTGGATAATATTTAACCACCGCATATCAATGATAAAGTGGGAGTTCGGACAGTCTAAGTTCGATTCGTTAAACAGAAATCTTGTAACTAGCCGTCGCCATCATCCATATGAACTGTTGTTTCACACACGATGTAACGAGTACCTTTCAAGGAACATTTAGCATGAAATTTCCCTCTTTTCTCGACACTCCAACAATTTCATATGAGCTCCGAAGTAAAACATTTCGAGTCCTTAAGCATCTACTTGGACGTTACATGAAGGCCTGCACCTACTATTCCCTTTGCTATCGGGGCAGTCACCGGAAAGCTGTGTCAACTGACACGTGACCACCTAGTTAAGTCAGTCGATCAAGCAACTCAAGTGGTTCGTCCGGGAACATTGATCAACTGGGTTCAAAAATGATAACCACTCGCTACTGGCGGATTTCCAGTACAAACTCGTGCATGAAAGTGTGTTATGCGGAAGCAGTATCTGAGGCATGAACCCAGTTCGGCGACTGGACACCAACATGGGTGATTCCAGCGCGCGGTGGCCTATAAAGAAATTTCAAGGGATCAAGTGAAGGAGTATGAGCTTAGGAGCTCTTTACTAACCCCCCTCAATGCTATGGTGCAGCTCTCATGGTTGACTGTCTTGGCTTGCAATTTACTAGTTCGGACATGGTGGCTTGCCTCAGATGAGGCTTATCGAAAGAGAATTACACAAAGCAGTAAACTCTTGAAAGATAACAATGCAAGAGGTTGATATGTTGTGTTTAACCTTTCGCACAGTTCTGAGCCCGTTGTGCCTCTAAATGCTTCAGTATAACCAGTGATGGGAATGCGTGAAGCCACGTCCCGCTGAAATCCTCCCGGGAAACCAGCTAAACCGAACCAAAGTCCAATCCACTCCTTTTCCGAGGGCAAAACCGAACGTCAGGTACTGTGAGCCGGTTGAAGATTCTCATTGTTTGCACCTTCCGGGGCACTCAGCAAGTTCTGATTCCACACCAACAGCAGCGGGAACTTCCACAAGTTCCGAAGACGGCACGGCTGAACCATTTCCATCGTTCTTTCCTGCTGTTTTACGGACTGCACATTACCTTGTAAACGACTTAGGTGCAGTATGAGAACAGAGGAAACGACGTTTCATTGGCTGTTGGGATGTACGAACGCTTCCAGAATCTCGGAGTGAAAGTCACTATGCGGTCGACGCGTGGTTGCCGTTTTAACATACGCTACCCCGAAGGATCACGGCAATTAAGTCGAGACTTCACATTCTCCTTTTTTGGTGACGTTATGGACCTACCAAAAACCTGCCCGCATATTTCTGACATTTTCCCTCATTCAGTAAGGTACACTAGTTATCCAGTAATTCAGTGAAAGAAATCAATAATTTGTCAAATTCGGGTATTGGCTGTTCCTAACGACGACTGTCAATCACAATTTGAAGTCAAAGGGATTCGGAGTTTTATGCGTTATAGTATTATCAAGACTCTTCTTCGGAAATGAAAGTGACAAGGCCGGTTGACCCATGCTGCTTACGAACGCCTACAGTTCCAAGCGAACGTTTCTGCTCTGACACCGAACGCGATCGGTCGTTCAGTTGGCTGTGGGTCGGTTTTATCAGCTGTGCCTGACGGAACACAGCTCCAGTTAAATCACTATCCTCCTTGTTCCAGCTCAAAAGGCTGTGTCATATCTCCCGGGTAATTGGATGCACAGTGTCGTCTGCATCACATGGTTCGGTTTCAGCGGTATGGTGCTCCATCCGATAAAAAGAAGGATTGAAATCCTGGCCTGTATTTGTCTGTCGCCCCCGCATAAACAACAGAAGCATATACGCACATACATTCGTCCGCAAATGCAATGTGCGGATTGGATGATCGAAAGACAGTGAGATTCGTCGGAGTCACAGCGGACTGAACCATGAGCGAGTCGCCCGATGACAGGAATAAAATATAACTACTGCAGGAGCGCCCGACAGTTCCGTCAATATTGGATCGACTTCATCCGAAACATTGACTTCATTTTGTTTATTGGTAAAACTAAGCGATTCGTCCAGAAGAAGCGACGGTCAGCGCGCGGAAGCAGTATCTGAGGCATGAACCCAGTTCGGCGACTGGACACCAACATGGGTGATTCCAGCGCGCGGTGGCCTATAAAGAAATTTCAAGGGATCAAGTGAAGGAGTATGAGCTTAGGAGCTCTTTACTAACCCCCCTCAATGCTATGGTGCAGCTCTCATGGTTGACTGTCTTGGCTTGCAATTTACTAGTTCGGACATGGTGGCTTGCCTCAGATGAGGCTTATCGAAAGAGAATTACACAAAGCAGTAAACTCTTGAAAGATAACAATGCAAGAGGTTGATATGTTGTGTTTAACCTTTCGCACAGTTCTGAGCCCGTTGTGCCTCTAAATGCTTCAGTATAACCAGTGATGGGAATGCGTGAAGCCACGTCCCGCTGAAATCCTCCCGGGAAACCAGCTAAACCGAACCAAAGTCCAATCCACTCCTTTTCCGAGGGCAAAACCGAACGTCAGGTACTGTGAGCCGGTTGAAGATTCTCATTGTTTGCACCTTCCGGGGCAGCAAGCAAGTTCTGATTCCACACCAACAGCAGCGGGAACTTCCACAAGTTCCGAAGACGGCACGGCTGAACCATTTCCATCGTTCTTTCCTGCTGTTTTACGGACTGCACATTACCTTGTAAACGACTTAGGTGCAGTATGAGAACAGAGGAAACGACGTTTCATTGGCTGTTGGGATGTACGAACGCTTCCAGAATCTCGGAGTGAAAGTCACTATGCGGTCGACGCGTGGTTGCCGTTTTAACATACGCTACCCCGAAGGATCACGGCAATTAAGTCGAGACTTCACATTCTCCTTTTTTGGTGACGTTATGGACCTACCAAAAACCTGCCCGCATATTTCTGACATTTTCCCTCATTCAGTAAGGTACACTAGTTATCCAGTAATTCAGTGAAAGAAATCAATAATTTGTCAAATTCGGGTATTGGCTGTTCCTAACGACGACTGTCAATCACAATTTGAAGTCAAAGGGATTCGGAGTTTTATGCGTTATAGTATTATCAAGACTCTTCTTCGGAAATGAAAGTGACAAGGCCGGTTGACCCATGCTGCTTACGAACGCCTACAGTTCCAAGCGAACGTTTCTGCTCTGACACCGAACGCGATCGGTCGTTCAGTTGGCTGTGGGTCGGTTTTATCAGCTGTGCCTGACGGAACACAGCTCCAGTTAAATCACTATCCACCTTGTTCCAGCTCAAAAGGCTGTGTCATATCTCCCGGGTAATTGGATGCACAGTGTCGTCTGCATCACATGGTTCGGTTTCAGCGGTATGGTGCTCCATCCGATAAAAAGAAGGATTGAACTCCTGGCCTGTATTTGTCTGTCGCCCCCGCACAAACAACAGAAGCATATACGCACATACATTCGTCCGCAAATGCAATGTGCGGATTGGATGATCGAAAGACAGTGAGATTCGTCGGAGTCACAGCGGACTGAACCATGAGCGAGTCGCCCGATGACAGGAATAAAATATAACTACTGCAGGAGCGCCCGACAGTTCCGTCAATATTGGATCGACTTCATCCGAAACATTGACTTCATTTTGTTTATTGGTAAAACTAAGCGATTCGTCCAGAAGAAGCGACGGTCAGCGCGCGGCTGAACGCAGTCTACATCACTTAGTCAACCTGTGTTACGACAACCGGATGACTCAATCCGTGGCTCCGCTGAATTGTTTATTTCGAAAAAAATCGGAAGTAATATCTCCACATCAAGATGGTTTTCATGGAACTAAATGCTTTCCGATTGCATCCTTTTTTCTCCAGGAAAGCAAATCCTCCAGAATCAAGCAGCAAGCGCATTCTAGTTCCCGAATTGGTCCTTTTTACGCCCCCCCCCGAAAAAAGGAACGCGACCTCTGCCTCTCAACTTCCCTGTCTAGGCTTGGGCAATCTGGCAGTATCACAGCCCTCGCGCTTCATTCGGGTAGCATGGCAGCTAGGCACCGGAAGGATGTTACAGCTGAGCTATTTGTTTTTGTACGTGGTAGTCATGAAGAAAGATGGGATGGCGGATATTCGTAATTCGTGAATATGGCTAATACAATGAGAGAATAGAAAAACATGTTTTTTTTCCAGTTCTGTGAATTACGGGGAATCCTGTCATCTCTTTACACAATAGGACTACTATGTGATATGATCGACCGTTATTCATTGCTTACACTTGGAGTGTGACTGCTCGTCTCCGGTCCTTCTGGAGTAAATCGATTAGTCGATGCAGCACGGAATAGACACTACCTATAAGGAAGCAGACATTTGTGTATTCTGTTGAGAGACCCTTCATAATTAGTTACCAGGAGCAACACACGTGGCAGTATACACCCTAACTTACTGAGATCACTCTCGCTACAATGAGGGAAACAAAGAACCGAGACGATATACAAGCAGTCAACAATAGGAGAACCGCATTATTTCAGAACGAGTCGGGGGTCTCTGTCTGATAACGCACAACACCTCCAAGATCCAAAGGAGTACTTGAAAATTGACGTACATCCCCTCCCTCTAGGGTAGACAGATCAGAGAACACATCGCCCTCAGCGAACACCACTGTCTTTTTCATCGTGATGCCCTTACTAGGAATGCTTCTCTTTAGTAGTAAACCAGAACAGGATAAGGCTTCAAGTATACAACTCACTACGCTGGTAGCAGCTCCGCCGGCCCGCATGGTTGGTTGAGCGCTACGTCCCGAGAGGTTGGGTGTTTGAAATCTCCTCAACTGTTTGGAAACCGCAGGGCACGGCTGTAAAGTCGGTGGTTGAGGCAGTAAGGGGGCAATATTCACAACGCCAGATGAAGATGATGCGATCGGCACGGAGGGTGCTGTAGGGGCAGGCTGAGGGGTGGGACATAAAGTCGGAAGCGTCGATGGAGCAGTCCATAAAGGAGGAAGCACAGAGACCCCTGAGGGTGGCGCAATGTTTAGATCATCAATACGATAGATTGATGTGGTTTTTGTGGTCAAACTTGCTGCAACTGTGCTCGGGAGACAAGCTTCTGCGGATCCTTGTAACGGGATTGAGTATGAAGAAAACTGTGGGAGAGGAAAAAAAGACCATCATTTTCAACGATCAAAGGAAGCAGTACTCAAAGTGAGTCTAGCATCACCAAAGATAACCTACCGGACATTGAAATAGCGGTGTTGTGCCGGGACCAAATGGTGGCGATATGAGAGGCGCCGGTGCGGTTTGGAGAAACAGACTATTAGACCCAACCGACGGATTACCAGCGAGGGATAATGTTGGGGCGGGAAAAATATTCGATCCAGCACTTCCACTCATAGAAGTGGCCATTTGGGAGGTAGTTGCATTGACCAGATTCGTCACTACGGTTGACGGAGGTCTATAGTTTGGTGGGATAAACACAGACGTTGAAGTGGGTAACAGCGATGGATTGTGCGGTGGCTGAACCAGTGTAGGATAGAATGGAGAAAGATGAGTGGGTGCGTATGATTCCACCATCGATGAACAGCAGCTCACTGGACTGAAAAGAGCAATCGAGCTGGTGGGGACAATCTGATGAGACAATCCAAGTGACGCATCGAAAAGAAAATCTCCTCCAGTCCCCATGGGCGGCTGCAGCATAGTGGTAAATGGTTGGTTACCTGGCTGTAGAAAGTTTAAGGCAGTTCCAGCTCCCAAACCAGGTGTAGATAGGCCCGGTAACAGAGGCGTTGCAGCGGATTGGAAAGTTGGAGCACCAGCAGAGTGCAAGACAATCCCTGGGGCCCCTGCGAGGAATTGGATAATAGAATAGGCCTAGATTAACTACCGAGGAACAACAGAGATTAAATGCTATACTGCGACAATAGAGCAGTTTCTAGTAGGCTCCTAACACCTAGCGTGCCACCAATAAACAAAAGATAGCCCCACAGTTTCAGAAAAAGAATGCAAGCAATGGAGGCATGTGCACAAGGCATCGACCAAGCAGAATACACACAACTATGTGCTAGTCAAAACTCACCCAGAAACTGAGGCACCGGGGTCATATTGAGAAACTGAAGAGTACTCCCAGAACCGACTCCAGATCCGGGAAGAGGAAGTGCAGTCGCTGTTACAGGGAGACTATTAAGAGGAACACCTGAACTCGAGACACCTGTTCCAGTTGCAAAAGACATCATCTGTGCAGTGTTCGGTTGGGACGTTAGGAGAGCTGTCGAAGAACTGGCCACAGCCGGAGTCGCAGAGGACGCGACTGGAAGCATGGTTGGTTGAGGAGTGGTTGGTTTAGGTCGAATATCCAAAACGCTAGTGATTGGTGTGGTAAATGGTTGTAGGCACGTCACAAAAACAACTGAGGTCTCAGCCTTATTTGTGAGAGAGACGGTGGGATACGAAAGATCAACACCGTTCTGCTGCGGCGGGCTACCGACCGTGATAGTATTGGTGATTGTAGAGTTCGGTGGTGTTTCCGGCAGTAACACTTCAGACGCAACGAGATGATTACGATTTGAAGGGGAAGGAAGTGGAGTTGATACTTCCGCAATCGTGCTTCCGGGGTCCGGTTGACAACTGGTAAGATGAAGGTGTGCAAAACGAATGAGAAAAAGGATAGACGATAAACACCAAACAATGGAGATAGATTTAAGCTGGATCGACTAGACTATAGTCGGTCTCCACGGACCACGAATAAGAGCGTCATCGGACGGCTGCACAGATAGCTTAGTGGCACACCTAACAGAAAACTAGTTGGCACAGTGATCCCATTAAGAGGGTCATTCTGAGGAGAGCTAGTTCGAAGAGAAATTTCACATTAAACTGCAATCGATAAGACACCAGTGTGATCTCCGTACAGGAGTGATCTCGGGCTAGGAAAGAGCTCCAATGGGGATCACTGACTATATAGAGTCAATACAACATAGAAGATCGTCAAAGGATTGCAGAAACAAGTAGATAGGACAGTGAGTGGACATACTCAGCTTGTCCAGTAAACACAATTCTGATATTCTGTACAAATACTGTTGCAGTCTCACAACTATCAAAAGTCAGGATGAATAGTATTCGGGGTGGAATGGTTCGGCACATCAGTGGTCAACTACACTGGGGCCCTCGGAAACAGAACGCTAAGGTGAAAGTAGCGTTCAACGCATGAAAGGTGTTGATCTATTTGTAAGGCGAATTCACACTAAAGAAAACATTATCGTGTACTTCCCAGGATGTCATTTGCACTTGGGTACTCCTGGGCACAAAAACATTTACTTGTTTTTGATGAGGGTAAAAGGACCTGCAGCACTGCACCCCCGAGAAACAGCAGTTAGCGTCCACGTCCTAGCAGACACTAGTAGATGCGACAAATCGGTAGGGAGGATGCTCGTCTGGACAGGTTGTTCCAACTCGAGAACCAGACTTCAAGCATCCCACCACTTGTGGAGCGAGATACGAAATTGCGCATGTGGATTACTTATGGCATCTGGTCGGTGCCACAGGAGCTAAAAAGGCTCGGGAACAATGAATGATTACAGCTACGTGACACTCACTCATCAGATTGGCCGTTAGTCGATGCTACTATATCCTCGGTGGGTTGGTTCGGTACCGGGTGAGCAGACGATAACGAGGTCAGACCAGACACGGACGTCGTACAGACAGGTTCCGCAGTGACTACATTCTGCGTTTCGCGCTCTAAAAAATTCAAAGAGGACTTATTAAGGATCTACAGAAATTGAACAGTCATAAGGCATTAAAGGATAACAGTCCATTTTTGGGCGTAACAACATGAACACCACTTTTGTAGCTGCCTCACCTGTGGCAGGTATGATCGTTTCTTCAGGAGTTATGTCCGGTGCAAGAGAAACATCTACCGTTAATGGCCTGTCTTCGAGATCAAAATCGTCATCTTCATCATGTTCGGCCGTCTCCGGTAAGTTAGGAAATCTGACCTGATCACATGTTTCTGGGTGATCGGCGGTGGACAAGTCATCATTAGAAGGAGCCAGTGGATTTACTGCAGCTTCAGATTGTGAAGGGCACCCTTCGACAACCCTCAGATTATCCAGTGACGCCAACACAACAGGTTTCCGACCGACTTCAGCAGTTTCAGGAGTAACAGCCGCAGAATCTATACAACTGGTCAGTTCCTGACAAAATAAAAATAAAGTGTATTAGCGCAAGGTGTTTGTAATATATCACATGTGACGGGAACAACGTCAATCGGGACTGTCACTCACCTTTGTTTGTTCGATTACCGCATCTTTGTTCACGGAATCCAAAACACTTTGTTCAGGAGACTGCTGCTCCTTAGACTCAGCAACAGGCGCCATAGACTCCGTTGCGGAAGCGTGGAGAGTGATAGTCAACTCAGGTGTTGCCTGTAGAACTGTTGGTGACATGTCACTGGTCGTTGCAGGGGCTTTATCGCACGCGTTGCCGAGACTCCGGTGAGTGCATCTATCAGGTGACCGCTGTAACAAAACACCGACTCAACTGATTGGATCGAAGCGGCAACACGTCGAAAACAAGCGTATGAACTATAGCTAGAAATGCCTCCAAGATTGGGCTGATAAAGTGTGTATGCACCAGAAGGATTCAGGTATATAGAGTTCACCGTAAATAAAAACAGGATATTTATAAAACGATGTCTGATATATATACGACCAAGCCGGAGACTGGATCGTGTGCAATCCGAAAGTAATGGATGCCTATAGACCAAAACAAAATTCGGCCAACCGAAGTTTACTGAAAAGGTTATCTCTATCAACAAAAGTGAATAGGTAAACTTCTCATCTCGGCTGTTCTCAGTCGATTTGCCACGAAAATGTTACAGTAACTATGTGAGTTCCTCTTATTTCCACGTAGCATGTCTCCTAATTCTGATCAACGATGCACTCACTCTACTGACTGCTACAATGATCCTGCGGGCTACACTGACTGGTGCACTCATGACAGGAAGGCAAAAGAAGAGCACTCAGACCGAGAGGAGCAAGACTTCGTACTACAAGCAAACGTGCTACGAGTCGGTCTGAGAGTCAATTCATACTGTCCTCTGCGATAGGAGTGTGAAGGCAGTAGTGTTTCCCCCAACCACCATATGCAATCCGAAAGTAATGGATGCCTATAGACCAAAACAAAATTCGGCCAACCGAAGTTTACTGAAAAGGTTATCTCTATCAACAAAAGTGAATAGGTAAACTTCTCATCTCGGCTGTTCTCAGTCGATTTGCCACGAAAATGTTACAGTAACTATGTGAGTTCCTCTTATTTCCACGTAGCATGTCTCCTAATTCTGATCAACGATGCACTCACTCTACTGACTGCTACAATGATCCTGCGGGCTACACTGACTGGTGCACTCATGACAGGAAGGCAAAAGAAGAGCACTCAGACCGAGAGGAGCAAGACTTCGTACTACAAGCAAACGTGCTACGAGTCGGTCTGAGAGTCAATTCATACTGTCCTCTGCGATAGGAGTGTGAAGGCAGTAGTGTTTCCCCCAGGCGACCACCATATTCATATTTATTGAAGCACCGATTCTATCTTACCTCGAAGGACAGGTTAGAAAAGGTCGGTCCCAATAACCGCACACTCCGGTCACCCAACGGTTGACCGTGACTTCCGGTGCATCATTCAATATCTGCTGCGCTCAGCCAGACCATAATGCCTTACTTCTTGAACGCTCGGATAAGCCAACCCCCTTCAGCTAAGCAGGCCGGATTATTGGGTCAGCGGCTCCGGGATGGGTACCCAGAGAAAGCCATACTGCCCGCTGCCTCACAGATCAGACTTTTGAATCAAAGGCCCAAGGTATGGCACCCAATTCCCTTCCTTGGCCTAAGAAACCGGGGAGTATCATTTGCCCTCACAGTTCTTTGTCCCCCGATGTCCCTCCCCAACCCCTTCTCGCCACACAGGAAAACTGTGCTGCGTCGTTTGACTGTCTGCCGTTTGACACCTAACTGATGGGCTTATGCAACCGGCTACCTAGTAACAAGAAATAAAATAACGCCCTGCTAAACCCGCGAGATTCTACATAGGAGTTTTTAATGTACGTACCCTATGCTGAATTGGCAAGCAGGCAATGCTCGCTGAAACGTTATTCTCCCTTAAAATTGATGAATGCTGTACTTCCCAAAGACGCATACAAGACCCAAGCTTGGCTGTGCATATCAAAACGCCACGGACGAAGTTAGTTCTTCAACATTTCTCCCTCGATGTGCCCGGTGATCCAGAAGCGATGATTCGTGGAATGTACGTTCAGCCTCCAGTGCTGAGCGTGCTTTCCAGATTGGATCCCAGTGAACAGTCGTCTTTGCGCTGTACTTTGGAGAAAAAAGATGCCTGTTTGTAATGCCGGCTTATATCCCAACGGACTGCAGTTATGATTCTGAGAAGGATATTTCCATCGAAAATTATCCAGGCTTATTAGTCAAGCAAAAAGCACTGACATTGTGATCCTTGTGGGCGATATGAATGACCAATTCGGTAGTCTGAGCTCCTTGGAATCACATTTGGGCAGTCGATTCGCAGTTGATGCACGTAGAACAGACAACGGAGAGCGACTCCCCCAGTTGTGTGCTCATCAAAACTGTTTCTGGCCAGTACGAACTTTCGGCATTAACGTCCCCATCACATAACCTGGCGCTGACGAAATGCAAATCAACGGTGGACTCAGTTGGAAAATGTGGGCATTGGCCACCGGTGGATAGCTACAATTCAAGAATGCAATTTCTTCAGGAGTGCACCTTGATTCCGATCACGCCATGGTGCGTGCATGCCTGACAAGTGGCTTCCCACGCAAGTCAGCAAGAAGCATGCCAATCGACCACCTCCGAAGAACTACCATAGCTCAACAGCATGGACCTGAGCTGACTCAACAATTCTCTAGAGTAAACCAATACTGCGTTGGTAGGAAGCATGTGGATGAAGCATGGCAAAATGCTAAAGGGGCTATGCCAGCGGCGTTCACTATAGTATGTCCGACTTCTCCGATTCGGCCATAAGACCACTGAATGTTGTTTAAACGCCTAGCCGTGTTTGATGCAAGGGAACAAAGTATGACATAGCCGTACTGAAACGTGAGCAACCACCACGACTGAATGATCTACATCCAACCCCGTTGAAAGAAGGCTGAGAATCGCTGACGATCTATCTAACAAAGATTATTGGTGCTATATGGAACAAAGAAAGGTGCCTGCAGAATGGGGCAAAAAGGCTAGGCGGACGCTGTATAATAAACCACCGTGGCATCAGCCTGCTAGCTGTGGCATCGAAGGTGCCCTCTGGTCTTTTCTTTCAAAAGTTGGCGGAACACAGGATGACACAGAGTTGTGAAAACCAAGCTGGGTTCCGTCTTGAAAGAGGATGTATCGATCACATTCTCATTCTCCAAGAGATTATGGAACAGTGACACGATTTCTACCGAGCAACAGTGGTTGTTTTCCCTTATTTGAAATTTGCCTGACTCTGGGAATCATCAGGCAATATGGCAGTGTCTGTGAAGCAGAGGTATCCCCCAAAATTCTTGACCCCCCTTAAGGCGGTGTACGCCAACCCCCACGAAAGTATGAAGATCTACGGAAATTCCTCCAGTGAGATTACCACATCAAGTGGAGTCAGGCAAGCCTTCCTCTTTAACCTTTCTCCTCCAACTTCGTCATTGATGCCAGTATGGAAGACTCACTACCGACCTCTAGTGCATGTAGGGTCTAACTGCTACCGGGGCATTTGCACATAGATATTGAGTACGCAGACGACACAGCTCGTATTGGATCTGAAGTCGTCGTAAGGCAAACAACATTGAAAAATCTAACCAATTCTGCCTCATGGTTTGGCATGCACTTCACATTTAGAAAGTGTCAAGGGCTGTCCCAAAGCTGAGTAGGCTCGAACCCTAGCCTCTCCGGTCCAGGTATGGGTGCCCTGGCAGTATCCCAGCCCACATACAATACGTCAGCGGAGCATCGGCGTTGAAGAATGATGTCATGTTGTTGGTGAACCATAGCCTCATGTTTATAGATGAGACGATTGAGATAATAGATAAATTTGCCTACCTGGGCAGCCGTATCAGTCCTGTTGATCTCGCGAGAGATGATATTTCTATCCGAAATGGGGAAGCTGGAGAAGTTTTCGTGAACCTGTAACCCTTGTGGCGTAGGCGTGATATCAGCTTACTTGTCAAGGGTAGAGTCCGCAATGCTGCGTGCGTCGCAGCACACGGGTCAGAAACCGGCCGATGCTCGTTGAAGACATCAAAAGACCATCAGAGATTGACCATCGATGCCTTCGAAGCCTGCGTCTGGCGGGAACAGCGGCTCAGTAATGCTGAAGTACATGGAGTGGTTTTTGGAAGAACTAACTCGCCCACATTTCATAAGTTACGCTGGTTTGTTAGCGTTCTCCTCATGCTAGCCAACCGACTTCCTCGAAGGCTTGTTGTCGCACAATCGCATAAAGAGTGGTCAAACAATGAAAGCCAGCAAACTCAGCTGTGCTGGTCATTGCCGTCTCCCTGGATGGGGACCCCGAGACGCGATATATTAATGGCTAGAGGCATTGTCAAACATGGTGTAGTCGTGTATCCAAGCTATCGCCTTCAATGGATAACTTCCCTCCCAATCTCCCAAACTGAATGTTCACTGACAACCCTGTATCTACGGATCAAGTATATCAGCTGCAGCCTCCAATGCATAGCCATCTAGCTCACCTCCCCAAATCATCGGTTAACGATACCGTGGCAGCCACACCACTGTACAATTAAGCGATCCTTACAACTGATGATGATGATGTCTGTCGACTTGCTTCCTGACTTCCACTTTTCACCAAATGGCACGACAATTTAACTCGGGGAATTGTGGATGAGGCCAGAGCTCTGACATAAAACAGCCCAGTGCCACATGCGTAGAGTTATAACTCTACGGCAAGAGGTTGCCCACATGCAACGAAAAAGAGTAGAATAGAAGACTGGAACAGGATGTGAAGCTCAAGGTCAAAATTTTATAGGGAAACGTGCCCTATTAGGAGCAAACGCATGGAGACCTGAGATAAAAACGATTTTAGCTGACGGGAGCGTCTTAGGCACAAAACTGCAGTTGATTTTGAACTGATAGGTTTGCCAGGACGACACGATCCATTTGGTTATTTCCTAGCCTACCCAGATCATCAGGAAGACAAATTATCCATCAGCCCAAATTCCTTCTCCACAACTTGAGCTGCTGAGTGAATCGAGGAGCTGAGTTCATTTACATGTGACCAAGGAAAGAATGTTGCTAACTCAGGTTATTCTGTAAGCGACTGAGCTGTTCGCCAAGCATGATACTTTTGTTGCAACCGTCTCATCGACAAACGGAGAGAAGAAAAGCAGAATAGTGTGTCGAATGAGCAACGGCAATTGATAACAGGAATAAATAGAAAATTCTTCACAGCGGGTCCGTTTCAACTCAACTATGTTACAGTAATGGTGCCTGCAGAATGTTTCCATACGAAGGTCATTGGTAATAAAAACTCCTTAAGACAAGCTCCGGTAAAGAAAACAACTATTCTCTTTGTTGCATTTCGTGACACAATGACTTTTTGCCAACAGAGAAAACTTTCATTCTACCAAACTCTGAAAACCTGTGGTTACGGTAAAATCAGAAAACTAACAAAATATTCGTCATGTCTAACAGGCTTAGAGGCTGTTTCACCAGTGGGGACTAGTTTTCATCCACTCGGTTTTTCCGTAATTTCATTGGGTGGTCTAGATCGTGCCATTACCATCGTTGTCAGCTTCAGCTGTAAACCACATACATGCTACACAACGGTTATAGCTGCCACAGTTTGATTCATCCAAAAACAGTCCGGGTCGAGTAAAAATAACACACAATCCCCTATGGACACATTGATTCCATCGAAACAGTCGTCGAAATAGCAAAAACGACTGAGACAACGGTGTAATTTGTCAGTGCTCCAGTAAACAAATACCATCCACGACATCGACATCCGTGGACGGCTACAAGGCGGGCTGACTGAAAAAAAAACGGAATCAAACCACGACGTCAAGTTCGCTTCCAGATAACCAGATAATTGAACGTTCTGTAAATCATATTCCAAGAGCTATAGTGGAGCCACCTCACTAAGCATTCAGAACTTAAGGGCATTCTTTGCTTCCCTAAACTGCAGCGACAAGTTACCGGCGATTCATGGCTGGCCTAGGACGTGCCTATCTGTTCTGGAATGCTATAGCATCGGGATCTATAACCTCAAGGCTGTAATGCAACCTATCCTACATAGGAATAAAAAGAGGATGGAAAGATGGATACTTAAAGGGAGTGCTTAATCCTTGCATACATCATGATATCTATTATGGCTAGAGCAACTAATCGACCTGATGGGGACAAGTGCTTTGCAAGAGATTAGTTGTTCTGATTCAATCCTGGAATGGCTACTTCCTTAGATTAGAAACTAACGATCAAGCGGCTAAGCCGTACCTGGCAACCCGACGACCCTTTTGAAAACCCGACTATCTCGGTTCCAACGACTGACGTCTTTGGAACAAGAAGGTAGACATCGATCGGTTATTTATTCCTAGGAACCACCGGACATTCATTTGGGGGATATTGACTGCCGAAACAGAAGAGTCCAACGCTTATAATGTGTTCATAATATGGGGCTGGTGTTCATTAGAAAGGAAATGTTCGTTTTTAAGTAAACTTCTGGATGGGAAGACAACCAAACTCAGATAGTTGCGATGATAATTGGTCCACTTGAGGTTATTTGAATAGCTATCAACCCTCCAAATTTTCAGAGGAAGAATGTCCCCTTATTTGGACTACCCAATCACCAAACGTATCCGGAATAAAACCTTCGAGAACCATACTGAGGAGCAATCCTTCCTCGTAGAAAGTTATCCTTGTCGATCGAATAGTTATGCCGCTTCACTGGATTCGACAACTTATTCAGTTACGCTCCTTCATCAACTTTAGTGATCTTTCTTCGAGCAGTCTTCGTTTCCAAGGCGGTTCCTTGGTGAACTGCTGGCTAGAAACTGCTTTGCAGAGTCTATTTTCGATTACATTTTGAGCCAGGAAATATCTTCTCGATAGGGGTGCAACCCTACTTCAGGGCGACGAATAAACTAGGACTCCGTTCGTTCTTCAGTGCTTTCGATGGCAACAATATGAGGTATGCAGTTAGCAAGGCAGTCTAACTTGTAGAGCAATGTGAATTCACATAGCCGTGATGATGGACGCATCAGAACCAAATAGAGGTAGGTAGCAGTTCGCTGCTGAATGTACCAGACAGAGGCTGATTTAGCTTCAGTCCCACGAATACTACGTATGAAAACATAAAAGGCCGAAGAGTAGGACAATACTATGCTGCGCGATAATCGCTCATTCACGAACGTCCGGAAAATTTCTGCTGCTTGTAGTAACAGGTTTAACTCTATGGGGCACGAATTTATCAACCCCACTACCTTCATGGTTCTGTATCCTTCTCAGGTTTTAAGATTGAAAGTTATTACTGCATAAGTGATGCGTTTGGTCCCGATAATGGAGATGATGTCGTTGAGGATAAAAGAGCATTAGACTCTTAGCCATGGTCTGGTGCTGTCGAGTCATAGTGCTGCGGCGCATATCTCTATGAGGACAGTAAGCTGAGTTAAATGAGGGCTGCCCATGAGTGTCTGTTGAAGCCCATAGACGATTTAAGTTCATTTGACGGTACAGAGGGTAAACCGGTAGGTCGTAAAACTACGATCATAAGGCATTCGGTTGTGGTTATACTAAAGGGACCAAAGGAGGACTTCACTCCGCCCGGCTGAATGACTCTCTTTTAGTGCTAATTTAAAGCAATGGAGTTTGGAGTACACTGGTGGCGGTTTGACAGTGCTGTCACAACATGCCAGATACCATCACGAAGTGTGTGAGGTTGTCTGGTTGATAAGGAGAAAAAATCGTCCAGCCGTAGCACCCTTGTGGTGCATAGCTGCCATGTCAACGGAAGGCAGCACAAGGGCTCGGATACTGCAAGGTTGCCAAGCCTAGACAGGAGCAGCCGAGATGCTGAAGTTGGGTTCGATCCACGGACCTTCCGGTCCATAAATCGACATCTTAACCACTGATAAGAAATTGATATAGGCTGAAGTACAGGTAAGACTCCTCACAAAAGACTAAGATTGACAGTGGTGAAAACATGAAAATTCACGGTAATAAAACAAGGAAACCTTATATAATAGAAAAATTGGGTACGACCAGTACGACGAGAAATGAATTATAAATTCGTGGATGATATTTACTTGAGAGACTAGTTTGTTGTGCACCAGCGGAACCAAGCAAACCGGCGGCGAGTCATCTACACAGGTTTCCACATCCCGTAGAATACGGACATCTGTATCCGCCTGTGATAAAGGATGAGTGATGTGGACAAACTGAAATATACCATTTAGACTTTCCTCTCAGCATCAGAGGGGAGACAAGGGTTTCGGTACGACGAATAAGAAAGTCCACTGAAGTGCACAGCAACAAATTGGCACCAACAAGCAGCTGAAAGTGAATACCGAAAAGAGTAAAAAGTGTAATATAACCTAATGTCTGCAGGTAATTGGGAAAATCCTCTGGATTTTAAATATCATCAACAATAAGGTAAGTATATGATGTCTTTATGCGGGAATTTACACAACAGTGGTCGAACGAAGGAAATTTTCGAAACAACGTGCACTTCATTTGAAAATCCGAGGTGGCATTTTATTCACCACTGGATAGGGAAGGATGTAAAGCGGTCTGAGACATTAGGGTGCTATTTTAAGTCTGACCGGATTAGATACATTCGTCGCATTGTTAGTGTCCTCGGAAGACGGAAGATAGTCACGAAAACCAGATGGAACGCGTGTCAGTAACTTAGAGGACGTCTTATCCAACAATACAGCTTACGTAAGCAAGCGATGGTCAGAGCCTTGCATATATATTGGTGGTAGAAAGCCCTCACTGTCGGCTGGGTGGGTGCCACCGTTCGAACTTCATGTGGCTCGCCATTGAAATCTCCTGACTTGGACCGCCGGCTTCTTGCTTTCGTTTTGTCTGTTCATCTACCTTTTCGCAGCCAAGCGTACTGGTAGTTTCGGGTAGATGCCAATGCAGTGGTCAATCTGCAGGCGCATGGGGATCGAAGGTGACCTACGCGCGCCCATCAGCTGAAACAGTAATGTCTGCTACTTGGTAGGGGCCCATAGTTGCCCTTTCGTTGGAGGGAAGGAGTAAATAAAAGGCAGTCCTAAGGTCTGACCACACCCCGGTGCGTGACTGGTTGTAGCCGAAGAAGGGTTCATCCAGTGCGGTCCGAAAATACGAATACAAACTACAAATACGCCATGGTTTGTTGGGGCCAGACAGTCACGCCCCCCTCAGACTGGGTGTCTAGTGGGTGATATAACGGCGCGCAGTGATTTTCTCTGTAGTAGGCAAAAAATCGTTCAGCTGTAGCACGCTTTTGGTGCCTAGCTTCCGTGCCACACAAAGGGGGTACAAGGGCTGGGATACTGCGAGGTCGCCCAAACCTAGGGGAAGTCGAGAGGCAGAGGTCGGGTTCCAACCACAGACCTTCCGGTAAGTAAATTCATGCCCCATTTCCGGAACAGCAGAAATCGTTTGACAGCGTGGTGTCCACCAACGGACCAGTCTTAAATCCAAAACCGACCATATCGCCGTCAGTAGCCGGTGGCGAGGGTCGATCACTGCCTGCCGGTCCTTTTGGAGTACCAGCATGGACTCGGACCATGCAACTGTACGCTGCTGCTCTTCATTGCGCTTTTCAGGTCTACATAAAACCCGCACACCTGGCTTAGCTAATGAGGAGCTAGTAGACTCAGAAGCCAAACGAAACTATCAGAACCGGCTCACTAGACGCCTAACGAAGGTCCGATATAGGCTGTGACACAACCATATCTGTCAGGGTCATTAACCATTGGCTTGTCTCACCACAAGGTTCCTATGTATGGAAACGGCAACTGCCAACGTAAATGGATTAACTTGAAATCGCCTTCATGCTTCGTTAACAAATCATAAATCGACCGCCTCTCCATCGGATCCGGGCTGGGCGAAGAGGGTTCTACCAGGAACACGGTCCTTTGGCACACGAAGTACATAGCCTAACCAGCCTAGTCTATAGAGTGTGACCAGCTGATTTATTGGAGAAGAGTGGACTACACAAAAGCCTCAACATCGCTGACCTGGTTTCCTCCAAACCTGCGCAACACTTCGGAGGCACCAACAGCCGAACACAGAGATTCTCTGAAGGTCATCCATACGCAGTAGCCACGTTTCTGGCTGATAAAGTAGAACAGATCGAACCGCAGCATTACACACTCTGTACTTGAAAGCACAGCTTATATCAGGTCGGCATAATAAATTTCGGAGGTTGGTAAGCGCCGTCCCAGCTCCATTACACCTCCCTAATTCAGGAAGTGATTTCATCTTTTGCCTCCTACACGCAGATAGCTTCAAGAGCAACTTTTCGGTGGCTTAGCCAAGTGCCAGGCACGCCGAAACATCACCCACCAAAATAAATATTTTTCTCCGTGCCTCATTCAAAATGTCGCAAACTGCGAGACAGACGTGTGGCTTGGCGGAAGGGTGTGGGGCATTATGAAGAGTTTAGGTGCTGCTGGTGCATCCACACTTTTAGGACGCAGTGCCCGTTACCCCTGCGGCAGTCGACCGTAGGTGTTGCGAGAAACGGAGACTAATCGAGGTCGGTGACCGTGTAACCAGTTTTTCTTCGGGTTGTTGACTGAGCGCTCGGAGGTGTACAGACCTCAGAATCCTTGCGGTAGGCTGGCACTAATTCCTCTCCCTTATCAACTCCTTTCCTTTTTTCACCTTATGGCTTTAAACTGAATAAACTTTATGGCTGTACGGCAGTGGAGCACAAGTCGTCGAAATGTTGCTGTTTCTGAAGGTCTTGTTGAAGTCAACCTACATCCTCTCCAGACACCTTTGTTTCGATCCATCGTTCTCTGACTGCCAACCGGTCAGGTAGACTGGAATGGCTTCGGTGCAATTCATGCTAACGACGATGAAGCGAACTAACATATGTCAAAGAACACTGCACCTCCCGACGTGACTCTCATAATGCTCTTGAGAGCAAGTTTGACCAACCGGGAGTAGTTTCTGGGAATTTGATTGCTGTCAGGCCCTAACACCTGACTGGTGGCCGCGGACTTTCATCGGGTTGGGAGTCATTCCTCTTCAGGAAAGAATGCGAATAGCTTCGTGAATAGGTGACATTGGTAAGAGCGAAAATTTATTAACCGGGAAGTCCGTGGATCGAACCGACCTCTTCATCACAACTTCCCCTGTCTAAAGTTGAGCAACTTCACAGTATTCCAGCCCTCGCGCCTCTTTCGGCTGACAGGACAGCTAGGCAACTAAAGGGTGTCACAAGTGAACGACGTTTTTAGGGACTTCACCAAGCTCAGGCGATTCATGAGGGCTTAGTGGCTGCGGACGATTATACGTTTTTGCTGTCGTGCTCCTTTGGATAATCGCCACGCCTCCGTGGCTACATGAAAGCCTGGATAACATAATATTAACTCCCGCATGCTGTCACAGACTGCCCACATTACCGGTTTTTGATCCATCCGGTAGAGTGGGCAGCTGCTTTTGTTTCACTGAAAGAAATCCCCCATGTTCGGCTGCAAAGGGGAGGATCCAGCTAAACGCTATCAACGTGTGTAAACAACAACCACAAGCGTAAGAGCCATACAACCATGGACGTCGGGTTCTCTCGGCGAGGGTACTGGATCAGAACTAATAAAATTTTGCAGTTGGTCTGCCAACCTGCTGCATATGACGACAGTCTGAGGTTGCGTATACTCCATGTAGTTGCGGATTAGCTCCGACTGGGGCGTTGTTCGTAGACTACTCAATGAAGGTGGAACCAAAACCTAGAAAGACAGTGCCTCTCATATATGAGGCGTTCCATTTTTCCAGTCAATGGAGGCGGGAGCTTGCTAGATGGTTTCTACACTGTCTTATCCGATGCGGAACCATGTCAACCCGCAACAAGCAATGACGTAATTTGTCAGGATCAGAAGAGTCGCGTAGGACTCCTCAAGTTTAAAAAGAACCCCTCCACCATTCCTATGGTTCCGATCACTTAGGAACACATTGGAAACTTTTAGGTCGACTGACAAGCCAGGTAAATAACTCTTCAGATGTCACTGTGGATCTCATGATAAAACTTCGAAACACAACGCCCTCACCCGCTATGCAAGCTCATAGTTTTGGTACAGACAACTGCACCGTTACGTTTCAGGGCTGGGATGCTGCAGTTTTCTAGGGGGGTGGAAGCTTTAAAAGACCAGAGCCGACAAGATGGCATGTCACAAATAGCAATACAGCGCCTGTTTTGGCTGACTTTCGAGCGCACGCCAATGATATGCATGTTCCCTCCTATTTCCTGACTTACGAAAATTACCTTGAACCCTTCTTTTCGGGAACTCACTGACCCACGTTACTTCCACCCAATTTATGGTACAAAAACACCCAAAATGGGAAGCGCTGTATGCGTAGCGTTCAGCGCAACTACACGAACGAATGCATCTATCAATACAGCATTCTCATTGGCCGATACGCTCACCCTATTAGGGCGCCGTCCCAAAGTGAAGCAGGCAGTTGAAGATGCGAGGAATGGTCGTCTGCACGGAGCTTCTCTATGTTCGCAGCCATTTTATGACTAGTGGTCCCGACAACTGGACTCGTCTGTGGAGACAGGACAGTTGACAACTCGGGGATTGTGGATATGATGTAACGGACTCATGCAAACACACAGGATCGAGGCCTTCGTCGGAGCACTTCTGGTGCGATGCCTTGGATGCACAATGCGTTTTTCTGTAAAGCCTCTGCAACTGGAATAAACATTTTTACACCGAAATGTTGCATTTAGTTGCTCGGCCAAAAGCATTTCAATTTGTCATCATTTTTCTGCTATTTGTATTAATTAACCTCCTCTCTAACTTTTTCAGGTACACTCGGCTTTGAACTCGCATTGGGAGCTCAGTATTCGCACAATGGAATTGAATTTTCGAAATTTATGACGTGTCACTGATGGACTAAAGCGATCGGGCAATTGAAACGAGAGTACCAGTCCAAACTTATGAGCCCCATTCAGGCATCCCGGGTTTCAGCGATGCTAGGAAATTATCTTACAGGACGTTTCAACCAGAGTGACGGTCGCCCAAGTGTACAATGAAATTTGGTGAGCTGCAAAAACATGAGGGTATGCTGCAACTGTTTTTGGTTTGAGAACATACACAACAAGGTGCAACATTTCGGCATGGGAGGTTTAAATCCCTTCGTAAAGATTTCTCAGCTGACAGCATTTAGCGGATAATGGGGACTATTGCTGTGCTATGGCTTCAGAAGTGGTTTCACACACGTGTGTTGGGAAACTGGGGGGTATATCCTTTCCACCTTTCACGACATTTGAGATGGCGTCAAATGATGACGTGAAAAATGGTTATGTGGTACTTGTGTGTTCATCCAATA